TGATGTCAACTTGGCTTTATGCGCAAATTGATAGTGTTGGATAGGTAGAGGAGCACCTATGTAAGGTGATGATGTGGCCGGGGTTGGCCTGGCGCAGGCGCCGCTTTTAACAGCATGTCTGCTGAGGGTTTTGTTGCACGGAAGCGGTCTCACCCCAGCGCCAGCCCACCTCTCTGTCCACCTGGTGTTGACGTTGGGAGCAAGGTTGCATGTCAGAGCTCATTAATGCTGGATCCTCGTTTCCCTCTCATCCACGTGAATGCAGCTTGGCTCATAGCTCTGCATTGCAGTCTGAACTGAGTCTAGACCAGGCTATTTTTTCCCCTCAGAGCACAACTGAGTTGCTTTGCACATAGATTCCCTCTGTTGGTGTAATATCAGGCAAAAGGCTGTGATGCATTCTTTTTGCAGCAGTTGTTCAGCTTGGGTTTGGTGGGGGGGGTGTTGCACATGGAGAAAGGTGCCTTTGGGTCTCTTGCCAACATTTTGAAACCAGTTAGCCACATGGTCACTGACAGATGTTTTATAACCCTGACACATGCGGTCACTAGACATGGGGTTGTATTATATCTTCTAAAATAAAAGCTTGAGTTTGAGATTACACACACACAGTCACAGGCTCTGGAGCATGGTTTGGAATCCCGTTCCTGTTTTTGAACAGTGGAGAACATCTTATTGATCTTGAATGTCACACTGTTTTGACTATTGCTTCCTGTCACATGGTCACCGTGAGCAGCTCTTCCTCTTCCAGCTTCAGTGTCTTACAGTCAAGTAGATCTTTACAATCAACAAACACACTGTATCCAGCTCTGGTACACTGTCCTGCCTGAGTTTGCAGCAGACAAGTACAAACATGGATGAACTTTAACACAAGCTACTGACATCAATTTCATATCAATGTAATTGTCCTACGTTTCTGAACAAAATATGCATTCATGACAGAATTTGTTTTCACTTTAAAAGGCAAAATACAAAACATGTTAACATATCAACAAACATGTATTTTAGCTTCCATTGCTCTTAATAGCATTAGAAAGACCAATTCTTGAGAGCAGAGCTGGAACGATTAGTCAATTTATCAGTTAGTCAATCAGAAGAAAACTAATTTGCAACTATTCTGATAGTCAAATAATCATTTTAATCATTTTTTAAGTGAAAATATTAAGGAAAACACCAATAACTCTGTGGTTCCACTTTCTCAAATGTGAGGATTTGATGCTTTTCCTCGTCATACATGATGGAAGATGGAATATCTTTGGGTTTTGGAAGATTGGTTGGACAAAACAAGACATCATTGTTAATTGTTATACTATTTTCTAGCATTTTATAAACAAAACAATTAATTAATAAAATAATCAGCAGATTAATCAATAATGAAAATAATCGCTAGTTGCAGCCAAGCCTTTAATTAAAACTGAATTTTATTGACACCAAACACAGTTTTCCTTTATAAATGAGCCTGTTAATGATGTTGGATATTATTTTATAAATAACTATCAGTAAACCACATTTCAAGTAGCCCATATCTTCTAACTGTCATGTTAGAGGGATGTTTTTTTTTTTTCTCAGTGGTGATGCATCCTTTTCTGGTGAGGGAAGGAAAGCATAGACTGTATTCTCCAGGTTGGGACTAACACAGTCAATACAGCATGATATTCTTAATGTATGTATCCTGGTCCAAGTGTCTTATTACTGTTTACGTGCTCTACCGTGAATACGAAAGTTAAATGTTTAATGTTTGATTTTTGGTGAGTCAGTTTGAGGTGCTGACTCAACTTGATATTTGCCCTTGAGGGTTTAGTTTGTAAATATCCCTTTCAATGTCTTCCAGCCAGTGGCACCACTTCATTTAATACAGTTTTCTCTTTAAATCAATATTTTACCTATTTAGTTATTCAGGCAAAGTTCTTGTACAGCTGCTTGAGTTAAGCTGCCATTTTTGACAAGTAAATGTCTATCTCCAAAATACAGAGATGTTATTTTTACTTGGCTGTAGACAGCTGTTAGACTTTTACATCTATAGAAATAATCTCTGGTCATAGAAAATGTGTCCTAGTTTGTAACTGTGTGATGTTTCATTGAGCCCTGTGGGGAGGTTAGTGTCACCTGATGTGGACAGCACATCAACTCAGGGGCTGATTGGCAGTCAGGCAGGAAAGTCTGTGTAAAGGATGGACCTCCTAACCAACATGCCACTCATTTGAAATGAACTAAAGATGAGTAATATTTGGCATTCACCATATCACACCACAAACTCGGTCATGAAGGAAACGTGGGGGAAAGTGAAAGTTGTAAAACGAAAAACACACCCCACACTCGTCCTCTCAAAGGCCTACCTGTTTCACCTCAGGTAGCACTATAACATTATGACTTTTATTGGATGCACCCCACAGTGCTGGGGCCAAAATGGCCGCCACATTGTTGTCAAGGCAGTGACCTGGCTTCCTCTGTAGTGTAAACTGTGCTCTGTTAAAGCTCTTAAGGTTGTATTGAGGTGCTCTCAGGCTCTTCCTGTTCTGGGTGGCTTTAAGGTTGAAGAGCATATAGCTACAAAGATCACTCTCTGCACACGAGTGTGTCTGTGGGCTTGTGTGTGTGTGTGTGTGTGTGTGTGTGTGTGTGTGTGTGTTTGTGTGTGTGTGTGTGTGTGTGTGTGTGTTTCTGTGCTGCAGCTGTCAGCAGTGATGTGATGGGTGGCTTACAGCCACCCTCACTGCTGTGTAACTTGAAAAGGAGATTTTGACAGAAACAGATCAACATCGAAAGTGCAGACGTCCCCAAAAGTGCTTTAAATAATATTTGATCCTGAATCCGGCACCAAATCAGCCTAAAACATTTTTATTATGTTTCTTCCTCTTTTTTTATTTATATGGCTACTTAAGAAGCCCATATTTGGTAATACTGTTAAATGCATGTTTACATTCAGGGTATCTGCAGGTCTTTAAGTCTTTAAAAACATTGTTTTCATTAAAAAAAAATGCGCTTAATGGGATTAAAAAGTCAGAAATGTAATTTACAAAGGTCTTCAATATTGATTAATCCATTCATCCATTTATTTTCTGCGTCTTATTCAGGTCACGTATGATACTTAATGATATTAGTAGGAAGTATTGTTGTTTACAGCTGAAATATGTGATATATCAATAAATTCATGCACTTACTGTCCCTGCTGCTTTTCAGTGATATCTTTCAGACTTTGACTGCTATGATGGTGAAAAACAGGCATTACATTTCATGTTGTATTAAAAAGGCCTTTTAAAGTCTTACATTTAATTTGGTGATCTCTGCAGACACCCCGACAGTGAGCACTGCACATGTATTGCTGATTAACCATTTATTCATTCTGTATCACATAGGGTGATATCTAAATCATTTGAATAGTGTGTCAGCCAACTCATCAGCACCCAGATGTAGAGCACAGAGAACAAGTCCCTGTGGTGGTGGTGGGCCTTACCGTCACCACGGCAACCAAGGTGTAGCTTCACTGGTTGCTGGGGGCAACAACAAGATAGAAGCTGTGTGGAGCATCACACAGGGGTAGGGAGCAGGGTGAGAGGGAGGGAGGGAGGCAGGGATGTGAAAGACAGCAGGTGAGAGGAGGAGTAGAGTGCCGGGTAGTTTGGTAAAGGAGGTGCAGAGAACAGAGAGAGAGAGAGAGAGAGAGGAGGAGTGGAAGAGATGTGAGGAGGAGGAGCAAAGTTGCCCCCGTTGCTGGGCAGGCATGTCGCAGTTCTTGCTAGTCTACATTCAACCATGGAGACATCGCCTCTACTGTTGCATCTGCTGAGCCCTAGCTCAGGGCTTTCCACAGGGATATTGAGTAGCCAGCTTGGGGGCATGTCGCACAAACCCTAATTTGGTGGCCTCTGACAGATTGTAATGCCACTATTTGATCATATACACTGATCTTAATCATTGCATGTTTTAATTCTAACCCTGCCCGATCGTAAACATGTAGAGAATTATTGTAAAGGAGAATTAGGCCTCTTGTGCAGTCTGTAAGTAGCTATTAATATTTAAAACCACACCTGTTCCTGACTGATCAGAACATTCATTCATGGTTCTGAAGCTGCCAGGTCTGGTTCCTCAACCTGTTCCATAAAGCAACAACACATTTGTCTAATTCATGTAGAAAATTATCGTGGATCTGATCACATATTTATCACGGCATCACTTCTAGATTAAAATATTCTTCACAGCAATTACAATTAAAACCAATTCAAAACTTCAATTAGGAACATAATCATAATGTTCTAGCTTCTAGTGGCCTCGTTCCTCTTCTTTGTCTTCTCTGTGGTTACACTCCACACCTGTGGGCAGTAAGCAGGTATGATTTATGAAGTTTTGAGCCTCTCCATGAATTACAGAGGAAAACAAAGAGGCCTGAGATGCACTTCTTGTCCTGCTCTCCTTTTGTCGTCCCCCTCTTCCTTCTGTTTTTCGCATCTCTCTCTGTAGCATGTGTGCTCACTATAAGTTCAGTTGCCTTAGAAAATTTAAAGTTTGAATGGACCTCAATGACCGAAGTGAAGTAATACGACAGAAATGGTCACAACTGACTCCCAGCTGTCGGCAGAGCATCCAGTCAGTTCAGAGTTTCAGCTCCATGTCAGAGGAAAGAGGTCATAGTTTGAAATGAAAGGCTCATATCTGGGACATGCTTGATTGGAAATTAAGTGGGTGTTTTAAAGGGTAGGGTAGGTCATCTTGACGAATGTCTGAAACCCTGTACAAATAAAATCCAAACTATTTGCACGACTCTAGAGGTACGATAAGACTGACGATCAAGGATGACCGAAAATCAGCCAGAGATGATAGAGATAGAGGTGGTAGCTATAACAATGGCAATGAGTTACCACCTGGCAGGAGCAAGGTGTGTGGGGGTAGCTTGTCTCTGGGGATACCTGAGCTACCTGTACAGCTGTCAGACACCACAAAACTAATCACTGGTGCTCGCTCCACCTAATTGTCTCCTAACTGCCTTTTGTTTGTGTCGCCAGGTGGTTGCCTTAGCGATGGACGGGGAGTCAGAACCAAACCCTGCCGTAGCAGAAGAGGCAGGGGAGCGGGAGGAGCCCATGGATGCCACTCCCTCCCCCCAGCCACAGACCACGCCCCCAACAGAGGAGGCTGGGGAGGCAGTTTCCATGGTAACAGAAGAAGGAGCCACAAAGGAGGGCGGCACAGAGGACAATGATGATGATGTGGTTCTAGTAGGGGAGGAGGCGGCAGCCCAGCCTTCTGCCACAACCCTTTCCGAAGACACGCCCAGCACAGACTGCATAGAGCTGGATGCTTCTGTGGGAACTATAGACATGTCCACTGCAGTGATGCCTTCCAAGACCCCCAGTCCTCCTGCGTCTTCCAGCGCATCCACAGTGGAGGCACCTCCTCCAAAACCTCCAACCACAGCAGCAGAGCCTATTGTCATTGATGATGAGGAGGACTCTGAACAGAAACACACTTCCTCATCTTCACCAGCGCCCCCTGGAGCCTCTTCTGTATCCCACTCGCCAGGTGCACTCAGCAGCACCGAGCCAGATTCGGAGATCAGGATCGCCAGTGTCACCACATTGGGCTCCAGTAGCCAAAAAGGGAGCTCCACCGTTTCAGCAGTAAGTACTCCGCCACATCCAGTGGACGTCCAGGCAGACTTGAACCTGATGATAACATCGGTGACATCGCTGCAGGGAGGAGCGGCGGCTGTCACAGCGGTGAGAACCAACACAACAGATTATATTTTTTCATGTTGGAGTCTTCTAATTTACTTTCACCTCTACTTTCACAAACAGTGTTAAGTAACTAATTTCAGGTGTTGATGGTTTGATGATGATGTTTTCTGCTGGTAAACATCGGTTAAAGCAGGTGTTCTCTTTGGCATAGCAGGTTTATTCTTGGCAAAGCAGATAACGATATCTTAGTAACGACGCTGCTGAGAGCTGATATTTTATGCCAGTATTTATTTATGCAAGATGCACTGGCAGCTCCTTTAGTTAGGTTGGATTCAGTGCAGGTTCTACACACTACTCTGCAGTTGGCACATTTTTTGTCTTTGGTTCCTTATCACTTAAAACCTAACCTAACCGACTTGTGTGTCTAGGCAGGTGAAGGCCAGGCAGAAGAAAATGGTCTGCAGATAAGCAATGCATTCAGCCTGAATCCCGACACCCCATCTGGTCGACCAACAGCCTCCTTTAACCCTGGGAGGGGCTTAGGCCCCATGGGCCAGCTGGTACAGAATGGAGACACAGGGACACACAACAGAGCAGGTAATGGATGTGTTATCTAGAAGAGATTTAACTGTTCTCCGTGTTCTCACAGGTAAAATGCTGTGCGTGCACCCCCCTTTACACTGTCACCTGAAACTCGTGAACCATATGATATGAGTGGGAGCTGGCCACATGTCTCTGTTTCACTTTTATACGTTTATATTTTTGTTTTGAGAAACCTGCACGTTGCCTCCACTGGTGCTGACAAGTGCATCCCTTCAGCCAGGTGTTCTGTTTCAAAATCTTAGCTCAGTACTTTTCCTTTGCTCTGTTGGAACTGAGGGCCAGAGTCCTGCACGGGTCCACTTTTGCAAACCCCACACCCACCATGCTCACACAAAGCTTGGCACCAAAGTTGTTGTTGTTAGCTGTCCCTTTTATTTTTGTTTTTATATGTTTATTTCATTCTTATGTTTATTTCACCCACTACCTGTAAGCATTTAGTTTATTTTTACCAGTGCCTGTGAATTAATATAAATGTATTTTGTACCTGTTACACATAATTGTTGTGGGGTACCTGACCCGGTGCAGGACTCTGTTGAGGGCTCTCCATACTAAGTCAGGAAATAGGAAGAATAATGGAGAGTGGCACATGAGCCTCGATACAATCTAGGAACGCTACAGTCAATCAGGTGTTTATTAACCAGTATCGGGCAATATATTCATGACTTGATCTTTCCCAATCATAACATGGATGTAGCTCTTTAACAACGCACCTGAAACATGATATAGAAAAGAGACCAGCTTCGTTTATTAGGGGTAACGGATTAACAGAAAAAGGGTTTCAAGTATTCACATAGACATTGCACATTGTGTGAAAAAACAACCCCCCCCCTCCATTCAGTCAAATGCAGGGTCATCCTGAAAAAACAAACAAACAAACAAAAAAACAGTTGAACCTGGCTCAACTGCCACAACACAATGCAACGTCATCCAGCAAAGCACAGCGTTGGATAATCAACTACGTGCAAGCACACATTCCTGCTGGATTTCTTTGTAATGCGAAGAGCGTATTTCAGCTGTTTACTCTGCGCTCGTTGTGACGGAGGGTAAAATGATTTTGACTGTGATAATTTTCCACAGTTGTCAAATCCTTCCTCGTATTATTATAAAACATTGTTCAGTTTTTTTGTTGTCAGATAATCCTTCAAACTCTTCGATGTATTAATCCAGCTAGCTTTACCGGATAGTTTTGTGTCATCATCTCACCATGTAATTGAACTCACACACCCTGATCAACACAGCACTTTACTTTTTATTTAACACTTTATGGTTTGAATGCTCGGTGCAACAGGTTCGCTTCTGCTGGAAAAACAAGAAATCTTTGCCATGTATACACTGAGCTGAGTGTCACAACAGGGTTTTTACAACAGTGTACAGTATGTGCATTACAAAGAACCGGACAGGGCTCTTTGTCATGCATTGCTGTCACAGCAACGCAGTTGGGTGGAACTCAATTACCTACAACTGCATTCATATTAATTCAATCTGAAGTTTAATTACATCAGAAACTAATATCGTTAAACTTAAATAAATAATTTCTCTACAGCTAAAACTGAATGCAGGCTGTCAATAAAGTTCAGGAACATGTAATAAAGGAAGAAGGGTGTTTCTCTCACTGCGATGCTCCTTCACTGCGGCTCTGATTTATGCCGAATGGGGAAAGGTGGAGAGAAAGTGAAAAATCAGGTTACTGACCAGTTGCATGCAAATCAAGTAGAGTAACAAGCATTTCCTGGTCATGCGTCATTGACTTTAATAAATCTCACCTGTATGCTAAGCAGAAATGTTTGTTGTTGCCAACTTCTGCCAACTCTTAACATTAGTAAACTCTGTAATTGCCTCAAATCAGCAAATCAAAGTGTGCATGCAGGGCTTAAGTAGTTCCCAAGTGGACCATCAGCAACTTTCTGATTTTACAGTGTGGCATAGCCCTCATAGAAATACTGGCTTTAAAGTCTGTGAATTGATAAAGTGGGGTGTTGGGACTGAGACAGTTTTATGTTTCTTGCCTAACTCCTCACAGGCTCCAGATGGTGCTGTTGACTGCAGCGGTATTCTTTTCACAAACTGGCTTCTGATGGACTTTTTTTTTTTCTTTTCAAATGCATCATAGTTTCATGTCTGCAGCTTTACAACCACAAAAACAGCAAACCATGATTTTGGCTTGAGATGCAACAAGTGTGAAGCTGTGCTGCTGGAGACCAGATGGATGGTTGGTGTTGGTAGCAACTGTGATGCTACTAGTTTTTAGAGTGTGAAACAGTTGTAAAAACTGACATTTTATCATCTGATTGGTCAAGATGCTCCGTTATGGTGCACCTGGTTTGCCTAATAGTACATGGCACATTCCAACCAGGGATATTCCATACATGTAATACCCCTGTCTCTCCATTAGTTTCCTGTCTGCCTCTCGATCATCTGTCCAATAAAGGCATTAATAAAGCCAATAAATAATCTGTTTTCATGAAAGGAATACAAAGACTTCTGAAGTTAAGGAAGTCATGGTTACTGAATGAATAATATATAAAAAATGATGCAATGAAATAAATAAATACTTGACGTCTATATTTTTCGAAGATCTCGTTCCACTCTTCGGGGAAGGCTTTGGAATCTGGCTGCAGGGATTTGCTCCGACTCGGCCACAGTGGCCGCTGGTGTTGGACAGTAAAGCTTGGTTCGCAGTTGGTGTTTCAGTTCTGCTGCAGTATTAAGATATGCCTTAACTGAAACTAAGGGGCTTAGCATAAACCATCCAAAACAGTCCCAGACCCTGAGTACACAAAGCTATGTGCACAGGGCCATCAAAATACTTTTTTGGCATATTTCACAAATTAAAAACATTAAGACGTGAGACAAAGCGGTGAAATCTTCAGAGAGCTGTCTATGAAAATGTTTAAGAACAGCACAGAGAGTTGGAGATTAGTACCTGATTGATCAATCCTTGAATCCTTCAAGTAGTGACCAGTATTCGTCCAACAGAAGGTGAAACAAGATGGCTCTCGTTAATATTAATGTGTCTGTGTTTCACCATCAGCTTCAAGTGTTTCCTATTCCATTATTTTACCTCTAGCTGGTGTAACTCTAGTTTTGGAGGACAACTCCAAACTGAAGGCAAGAATGAGGAAGATGGTTAAAAGGGAGGATTGGGACAAGGTTTTATTCTCTCTGACAAACTGAATGCTCCTGATAAATGTACATCCACTGTTTTTTATTGTCAGCTCAGAGAAACAAAGACCTGTAGGACGGAGACGGCTGTTAACTTTGTTTCTCTCTCTCCCTCCAGATTCATGGATCTCCCAGTCGGCGTCAGTCCCCCGCAATCAAAAACAAACGGGGGTGGACTCTCCGTCACCAGCCACCTCGCTGCCCAAACCTCCAGGCCAGTCTTCCTCATCTACTTCCTCCTCAGGCTCCCAGCCACAGCCCAGGACAGTCAAGGTGATCCGCTCAGTCCACCGAGGTCCCCTGCAGTTACATTAGGTGTAGTTTATGATGAACAGGAAGACATTAAAATAGAAATTTTACTTCATCTTATAACTTTAATCCAGAGTTAAGGGTTCAGTTGTGTCGTGCTTTGTATCTGTGCGTTATGTTTTCATTCACAGCATGTCGTGGCAATCCTGTTTGTTTAAAAGTGCTTCATATGCTTCGTATGAACAGTGAAATATTCTCCCAAACACACTGCTACCAGACGCCGCTGGAGCAGATTCAGTAGTGATGCTGTTAAACAGATGTGGTGCAGTAATTACATGAAGCACTGTATCTATACTTATTGTACATAAATTCACGCGCCCAGTTGTCACAATAATTCACTCTACAGTGAGTTCACAGCCTTCACATGGGTTCATTCCTATAACTCTAATATGGCAGACAAACTGGACATTTATCTTATTTTGAAACAACATGTGGGATTTAACACATAATCTCCTGCATTCATTACCGCGCCTATTACTAGTATATTTCCTGTGTTATCCAATGAGCACTATTTTGTCAGTTCACTTGTATTGAGTACAGCAGCAGTTTGTGCAATAGAAAATTTAGGTTTGTTTATTTTTTCTTATTCCTCTTACGACTCTTTTACTTCCAATGCCCCATTTTGTCTTATTAGTTTTCGTTCAGCTGAAAGAGAACAACTGTTGTTTTGAAGAGGATGTGCAGAATGAATACACCTAACATGCAAAGTCTCTTTGAATACAAGTCTGAACGAGTTTTGAATGGCCAAAATGTGCCTGCAGGGTTTATACAGAAGCATACTACTTCTACTGGCAGCTAATGGAGTAAGGCCATATATTACTTATTGCCATTGTAAAACTCCCCTGCAGTTAAATCTTGTTTGTGTTTGTTCACTCCAGGTGACCTGTGCTAACTGTAAAAAGCCTCTGAAGAAAGGCCAAACGGCCTACCAGCGTAAAGGCTCCACACACCTGTTCTGCTCCACCACCTGTCTCTCTGCCTTCTCACACAAACCCGCCCCCAAGAAGAGCTGCACCATGTGCAAAAAGTGAGTCTGAATCCGAAGGTTGCAGGAATCCCATTAAACAGGAGACATTTTATGGTCCGAATTTAGGATTGTACTCGTGGGGTACATTCAAAAGTACTGGGGTGGTAACCATAAACTAAAATCTATGGTTCAGTTTCAGTTTCACTTCCAGCAGTTTTGAGTTAACGGTCTGTCCCATTTATTAATTGACTTTTAACTCATATGTTTGCAAGTCCTAAACACTATACTACTAACTGATGTACAGGCTGATCTATCTGTAGGGGCTGATCTATCTGTAATGCATCTGTGCTGCATTTGTGTTTTCCAGGGACATCACAAACATGAAGGGTACCATTGTGGCCCAGGTTGACTCGAGCGAATCTTTCCAGGAGTTCTGCAGCACAGGCTGCCTAGGCGCCTACGAGAACAAGCAAAACCCGCCCAAATCGGGCCTCAAAACCAAATGTACTGTCTGTGGAAAGCTCACAGAGGTCAGTCTGTCTGACGCACTTAACAACACATACTCCTCTCTCGCGCATTTACCTGTCATTCTTAAGCAACATACGTGCCTCTCTACTCCTGACAATGGAATGAATAATTGAGTAGCAACGGGCAAAATAGTAAAAGTAAGTTTGGATGGAAAGGGGCATTAATGGTGCACTCTGACTTAGCAGTGTAGTAGTTACACCTACGCAGTGTAATTCAGTCTAAATGTGTCTCTAATACTCTGATTCTCTCAGGATGCTCAAAACATAACAAACACCTTAATATATCAAGTCCAATACAGAGTGTTTAACTTAAACTCCTAACTGGAAAACAGGAGAAAATAAAATAAGCCCTCTCCTTCTATTCTGCTTCTGTTTTAGTCAGGCTTTTTTTACATTTGACAAGATGGTAGAATTAAAAAAGATTTTCAGTCTGAACACACTGAGAGCTCACAAACTTCTCAAGGTTTTCTGACAGCGCTAAAACAACCGGAGTGCAGCCGGATGGTCTCCATTGTTGGGCGGTGAGAGAGAGAGAGAGAGAGGGCGGAGGTTTAAATCCTCCCCTTTTTGCCAATCAACAAGCAGCACTGGGAACACCACCTGCACCACATCACACACAGTCTCTCTCTCTCACACACACACACACACACACACACACACACACACACTCTAATTGCACACACTAAGGTGGAGGAGAGAGAGCTGTCAAACACAGACGGACAAATAAACAAATGACCAAGAGTGATAACAGAGAGAGCCTCAGAGCCACTTACACAGTCTGTTAGGCTTCATCTTCTTTTCATCATTTACATTGTTGTCTTGGACGATTGAACCGTCTGTTTCTCTCTCTCTCTCTCTCTCTCTCTTTCTCTGCTTTGTTCTCTTCCTCCTCTGGTCACTTTCATTCAATATTTATCTCTTTCTTGCTCCTTGTCTCGCCTTCGCTGTTCCCTGGTTCACTCTTTCTGTCCTTTCCTGCCTTCGTTCTTTTCTCCATCCCTGCGTTTCGTTTTGTTTCATTTCATTTCATTACGGCTTCTAAGGTTCAGCAGACCTTCAGCTCAGTCTCCATGGCCACCACATGCAAAAAGAGTTGTCTCAAAAGTAGTTCCTCCCACCTCACAATGAAGGATCAGTTAGTTAGTCTTGGTGGTTGTGTTGAATTGGTTTGTTATGTAACACAGGAGATGGTCCCTGTTAGTGTTCAACGTATCCAAGATAAATTAACTAACCGTTCAGTCACTTATGAACGTGGCAAGGCCTTTTTTTTTTTTTAATGGAATTTCCTAGCGTGTTCATTCGACGCTAACCAGTGCCACTGTCACCTAGCAACCGCAACGGTCTGCATTTGTGACATCTTAAAATCATGTGCATTATTTATGTCTCCGTCTTGGTTTGATTTGCATATAAAAGCAACGGAAATATCGCCGATAAACTACGAAAATGATTTGGAAAAGTCACACGACATGGACGGTACGCTTGTGTGTACATTTAAAAAGCATTACCTTTCCTTCCTGTTGATTCCTATCGCTTTATTTGTCTTCAATTTACACCCTGTTATGCTTTGTTGTATGGGTAAATATCCTTGCCATTTTGTCATGGATGTGTGGTGAAGTGGACCTGCGGTGGTATTGTGTGTATTCATGTGCAGATCAGATTGTATCCGTGTTGATTAATTTTGTGCAACTTTTGAAGGACAAATGAGTCTGTAGCATCGCAAACAAATACATATAAGAGGTGTAGAAGCCTCCATTTTTAGTCACTGTTGGATTTCCACTAAAAAATGTTTGTTCCTACTTATCCAGAACAAAGTGTGACCCATTCCAACATGGCTTTCAGATTCAGAAGTTTAGTTTTAGTTAATCAGGCCCTTCTGCTTTTTTTTTTTTTTTTCTTTCCTCCTCTGTCTCCAGATCCGGCACGAGGTTAGCTTTAAGACTGTGACCCACAAGATCTGCAGCGACGCATGTTTCAACGTTTACCGCAGGGCCAACGGGTTGATCATGAACTGCTGCGAGCAATGTGGCGACTACCTGCCCAGCCGAGCGTCGGCCAACCACTTTCTGCTGGTCGACGGCCAACAGAAGCGATTCTGCTGCCAGAACTGCATCAGGGAGTACAAGCAGGTACTGTAGGCCCAACCGCAGGCTGCAGGTGTGTAACATTCGCCTGATTGGAGCCTAGATGTGATTGATTCATTTATGTCATTCAACCATATCCATTTAAAATTGCGGCTCTGCTTTGACAGCCAAAGCTGTAAAAGTTTCTTTTTTAAAATATTAATTTAGCTGTAGTGACCCACTCTCCTCCTCACAGCTAGGAAACAGACCCACAGCAACTAAAATATAAATACAGTGAAATGAAAACATGCACACAGGTGGGCATGCTGATCATAAGAAATAAACATCCTAGTGAGAGAAAAAATTGGCCTTGAATGAACAAGATTGAAAATTTGCGCAGCAAACAAAAGGCGTGTCACTTTTATTTGTCCCCAGTGGGGCCATTGGGCAGCAGTGGGATATTTGCATAAAAACATAAAAACACACACGCCTCACATAAATACAACACCAAGACCAAAAGATATAAAGGACAATAAGTTAATAAAAACAAAACAGAAACTGAATGTTAGTGGACAATAGGTCAAAACAACATAAACCTTTTTGATGGCAGAGGGTATAAAAGAGGGTTTGGGACCATGGTGATGAATGATAAGCAACCACCTATTGCTAATGGTTTGGTCAACATTTTATATGTATTCATTTATCATTTATCATGTAGAGATACAGTTAATGTCATGTTACTTCTCTACAAATGTTTATTTGCATGTTGCGATCCACTATGGGAGGTGCTGCTTGATGATGATGATGATGATGATGATGATGATGGATTGACAGAATTCACCATCCTGTTGTGTAGATGAACCAGGAGTGTCCACATGATGATGGGCAGGTTTTAGAGAGACATGGGTCACTAACTTTGGCTCTGTCTGTAATGACACTAACACAGAGTCTGCAGCACAGATCAGTGCTCATCACACCTCTGGATCTCTTTTTAAAAGGAACTGAACATGTTGCAACTAAATTGTGTTACTAAGCAATATTAGCCAGAAAATTTTAAGTTGGAATTGTATTTGTTGCTGAGCAACAGCCGCTTATTGGACATTTTACTAATAAGTGGAGGAAACCGTTGGGTCTGTCTCCTTTCATTGGTATACAATTTAAACAAGAGGCTGACTGTTCAGTGAAACTGTGAACTGGTTCTCAGGCATTGTGTGCAGTAATGAGCCATCCTGCACAAACCCAATCAGCTGGTTAAGTAGTGAAACATAAGTGTTTGGATGATCTAGGGCTTGTGGAGAAAAATTCCCTGCCTCGATCGGACATTTGAATTAGTTGTCTTTGCTGTATCTGGACAGCTCGGTTTTCCATATTAAGAACTGAAAAATAACTTATGGCAGCAGGAGGGAGGAGAGGCATTAAAAACTCTGACAATTACCTCATATTCCACTCAGATATCACTGCATCTCCCTTGTTGGACCGAGTAGGATTAAATTAATGAAAATGAAGATGATGGCACGTTGTATGGCACGTATTAAAGATACATTTTATCAAGTAATGCAGTAATAGATCTCCAAGGCCGACGCTGCCACTGTTAGTCACTGTGACAGTAATAGGAGAAAGAGTATATAATCTGCGCTTTGTGGCCAAGTAGTGAGAAAACACACACATAGAAACACAGGAGATTTGTACTGTTTACTCTGCTAATGCTCATATTTCATGAAAGTCCACTCAGGAAAAGTCAGAAACCGCTCTCCCAACAAACACTTTAAAACCTCGTACTCCAATGAAGAGGATCCATCAGGATTTCCACTATTTCATTTAATAATCTTTTCTTTTTTTCCCCCTATTTGATGCTCTGTTTATGTCCCTCCACCATAGTGCATGGTATGCTTGGATATTTTGTCATCAGTCTTTTAGCTGTTGGAGCACCTTGTCCATTGAAATGAGCTGACATCGAAACATTTTTATTGTTTAATCAATTACCTTTATCAGTGTTTTAACATAATCTTATTGTCACTGCAGAGCATTGTGTGTGCTGCGGTTTGATACGATGTTTTCCCGCTCTGTCGCAGGCCCACAGTAAACTCGCGAGCTGCCTGACTTGTAAAACGCTGATCAAGACGGGCGAGGTGCTGCACAGCCTCGGAGCGGGCGGCACCATGGGCTCCTACTGCTCCGTCAACTGCATGAACAAGGGCAAGCTGGCGACCACGTCCTTCCTCAGTGAGTAACCAGACAACATAAGAAGGAAGGTTAACAAACTTTTGAAACAGAACTTTTCTGAACAACAAATGGACTTGAGTCAAAAGAGCAGCAGAGAAAAGCTCTAGTTAACCTGTTTGTTCACTCCTGGTCATGGAGCCTCACTAAACAATAAATTCACAAGTAGGAGAAAGAGTTGCATAACATTTAAAAACAAAAAAAAAAACAAAACAAACAAAAAAAAAAAAAAGTCATGTATAATAAATGCATTTTCGTGTAAGTGTTAATGTTTAATGTCTGATGTGTGTGTGTGCAGATACAGAGCCCACGTGTCACTTCTGTAAGAGAAATTCATTACCGCAGTACCAGGCCACACTGCCAGAGGGAAACATCCTCAACTTCTGCAGCTCACAATGTGTTACCAAGTTCCAGGTGGGGGACTCGTGTGTCATTTCAAACCAGAAGACACAATAAAAAAAATTAATTTAAAAAAAAAGAAAAAAAAAAAAAGAATTTTACAACAGGGAAATTAACTGGTCACACTGATGGACATTGCATCATCTCGCTCTGCATTAATTTCCACAGTAGTTCTTTGATACAGTTGAATGAAACTGCAGTATCTCAGCTGCTGCGAGGACTGAAAATACGCATACATACATACTAATGCAATGCAATAAATGGTTCAGATAAATGGAGCAAACTAGACTCCAAACTAGTGCTTCGGTGTGAAGTTGTGTCCCAGTTTCTCTACAGATAAGTGAGGACATGAAATGTTGTTATACCTGGAAGGAGGAAGTTGCAGTAAATAGAAACCCAGATTAACTGTTAACGTCATCTACCCATTTGACATTCATGAAAACAGCAGCTCAAAACACAAACATAAACACCACACATTCCCTCAGTGGAGTCCATGACCTGATTAGTTTTTTAGCACCATGTTGCATAAATTTGCATATTAACTGGCATGACTTCATACAATAGCACTCAAGTTGGTGGGCATGGAGATATTTGCAAGTCAGTGTGTTTTATTAGCTTTGTTTGTTACCTTAATAAAACAGCCACATGGTTTTTTAATATTAAGCTTTTATAATATACTTCAGAAGGAGCAGTAGACATGCAGTCAATTAAATTTTCCTCCATGTGATTAATTTTTATTTATTTATTTTGTATTTTTTGCAGAATGCTCCTCTTCAAACGGCCACCAACGGACAGACGCCCCTCTCCACCACAAACAACACCGTCCAGCTGAAATGTAACTACTGTCGAGGAGCGTTCAGTTTGAAGCCTGAAACTCTGGACTGGGAGGTGAGGCAATTAAAATAATAATAATAATAATAATTTGACACAGATATCACAGGCTGACAGTCAATGCCTTCCACAGATAATGCTGTACATTAGTGTAAAGCACCATGATACATCTGCAGACAAGTGCTTGTTGTCTTACACCCTTTTTATTTCTTTCTTTTACTTTTTGTTTATGAATTTTTTTCATTTTATGAGAACCACAGGAATGTTTTCTTACACCTCTGATAGCAAAGGGCAGTAAAATTTATTTGGTTGGTATTAAAAAAAAAAACAAGGCATTGGAATATGACCACCTGCGCTCTGGGAGATTGTTATGGGCACGGGCGAATAACTCTTAAACCCACAGTGGCTACAATACACTTGTCCATGTGTGTGTCTGTCTTCAGGATAAAGTCTACCAGTTCTGTAGTAAGACGTGTTGTGAGGACTACAAGAAGCTCCACTGCATTGTGACGTTTTGCGAGTACTGCCAAGAGGAAAAGACGCTACATGAGACGGTCAAGTTCTCCGGGGTCAAGAGACCTTTCTGCAGCGAAGGTACTCGTCTCCCGTCCTCTGCTCTCCTCTGTAGGACACTCGATAAATCAGAGTGCTTTCTTTTTTAAGTGGTAGGAAGTAGAGAGGCTGTTTTTGATATGTTTTCAATGCCTTTTTGTTTGTCATATTTCTGTCTTTTTATATATATATATATATGTCTGAGGTCTCGTTTACAGAATTTGACATTGCTGTTTCTAATTGAGACCGTTTTCCACTTCACTCATCTGTCATTTTGCGTTTTCATTCTGTTTCTTTTTCTTTCCTTCTCTTTGTTTATTTTTCCCTTCGTTCCGTCTGTTTCCCTTTCCAGGGTGTAAGCTGTTATATAAGCAGGATTTCATCAAGCGGTTAGGCCTGAAGTGTGTCAGCTGTAACCACTGCTACCAGCTGTGTAAGAGAGGTGTGACGCGGCAGCTCGGTGGCCTGACTCGGGACTTCTGCGGCGATCCGTGCGCCAAGAAGTTCCACGACTGGTACTACAAGGTCTGCTCATACTCAGCGTATCATAAATGTGTTTTGTTTTTGCAATGTGGTGTTGAAAAAAAGTATGTTGTGAATTTCCTTTTAAAAAAATAAATAAATAAAATAAATAAATGTCTCCCTGTGACCACCAGGCGGCGCGGTGTGATTGCTGTAAGGTGCAGGGTAACCTGACGGAGTCTGTGATGTGGAGAGCAGAGATGAAGCATTTCTGTGACCAGGAGTGTCTGTTGAAGTTCTACTGCCAGCAGAACGAGCCCATCATGGTCACACAGAAAGGCCCAGAGAACACCACCCTGGGTACAAACTCTGTGTGTGTGTGTGTGTGTGTGTGTGAGAGAGTGTGTGTGTGTGTGTGAGAGAGTGTGTGTGTATTTGGTCGATCTAACGTTTTCCAACAAGTGACCCTCTTGAGTATGTCTTCAATGGTCCTTGTGATAGAAAATACTTTTGAAGAATCAAGTATTAGGGAAGGAATTTATGTGTCACTCAGATTTCTTCCTGAGGCAAAGAAGTGATATATTTATCTTCCTCTTTACAGGGTTTGAAGTGCAAGGGGCCAAACTTGGGGTAAGTAGGAAGTGGAAGACGTGTCAGTATCACACAGTTTGCTTTGAAATATTTTCTGTTTTCTACAGTCAATTAGTTCTTAAGTGTTTCCTGTACATCTGTTGTAAAGATGTAATTAAATCTACAACATATAGTGGATCCACTTAGAAATATGTAACCATTTTATCAACCAAATATTTATATTTTGTATTTAACAAATTTATCTAACATTTATATTTTTGTAAGACAAATATATTTCTTTTAAAACAATCCCGTCATTTTTTTAATTGTATATTTTGTAACGTTTTAGTTTGAATTTTACTTATAATAACTGATCCTTTTGTAAGAGCAGTGTGTTGTGTTTTTTTTTTTTTTGCAGCTCGTGAACCAGGGCACTGTGGCGTACGCAGGTGGAGGTTTGATGAGAGATGTCAAGAACAAGGCGGTGCTCTGCAAGCCGCTCACCCTGACCAAGGCTACCTACTGCAAGCCACACATGCAGAGCAAACTCTTACAGACAGGTGACTGCAGCATCTTAGATAGAGGACTGCTGCACATGTTGACATATGTGGTGTTTCTTTCTTTTCTAATTTGGATGTGTTGTGTTTACTGGAGAGAGAGAGAGAGACATAGACCTGGATGTCAGTGCATCCAAGAAGCATTCAAGACTAATTTTAAATCTGACTGCTGAAACCACCTCCAGAGCTGGACGCATGCTGGTCAGATGTTTAAAGCTATAAATGCATCTGTCTCTCTAAAGGACATGCATAATCTTTTCTCCTCCCACAGTGTAACTACATCAGCAGTCTGATTTTCTTAATCCATCCATGTTCTGCCTCCTCTGTCCTTGAGATAATGGCAGCTAAAGTTACATTAAAATGACACTGAAATGAGCCGCTGTTCTCTGTCTAACTAAAGCAACAGAGAAAAATAGCTGCTTTAGTCAGGTCAAGTCAGTTTTATTTATACCATCATCATAACACAAGTTTCCTTTTATCGGAAAGAAACCTGGAGCATTCGTCTTTTCCCTGATCAGTTCAACCACTGAATGATCTGTGAGGAGGAGGAGGGGAGCTTTAATCTGTAATGTGTCAGAGTCTGTGAAGACGATGAAACTTTTGTCTCGCTCGTAGTTCATAAATATGATTCACTCATGTCTTTGTGTTTAAGTTATGGACAGTTGTTAGCTAGCTAACACGAGCTAACTGCTACAGTGCAGGAGTCTTTTTCCAGAGTTTGTGGCCGTTTGCTACTAAACGGCTTCATGTGTGTTACCGCCTCCTTCTGGACTGGAGGAGGGTGGAGGTGGAAGGTGGATTGTAATCAGATTTATAATCTAGCCAGTACAGATGCATATATGTGGCTAAATTTAAATAAAAGTGTCTTAAATCTTACCTGGACTTTATCCACATATGAGACACTTGAAATGACAAATGTAAATTAAGCTTTTAGGAAGTTTTAACCTTGGTTGTTGGTGCTAAACAGTTATGCAGAGGTTGACAAAATTCCTGCCACTTGCCCTTTGAAATAACTTCTTCATGACCAATTAATACACAGACTAAGTTGCATGTATAATATGATTCTGCATATCCACAGATGTAGATGATGGTGTGAAGAGGGAGTACATCCCTGTACCCATACCTGTGCCTGTCTTCATCCCCGTGCCCATGAACATGTATTCCCAGGTCACTCCCTCTCCAGTCTCTCTACCTGTACCGGTAAGATCTTATGTTACGTATGGATTACCTGTGCTAAGATGATAACATAGACTAATCAATACAAGCCTGCATAATAGATATTAAAATGGCAGGCTGCTTAAAACTGATGAAAATGTTATGATATGTTAAATTATTTTTTTATCATTGTTAAGGAGACATTAATCAATCAAAGTCGTCTGACCACTCAACACAAAGCTCTATGTCCTGTCCCGTCCAGGTTCCTGTGCCTGTGTTCCTGCCCACCACCCTGCAGGGGGCAGAACAGATCGTCCAGACCATCGATGAATTAAAAAACAAGGTGCCCTCTGACCCCCTGGAGGCCGACCTGCTCTCCATGGCCGAGATGATCGCCGAGGACCAGAAGCCAGGTGCGCTCATGAGAGGGTTACGTGTGGATGAAAACATTACAGATCAGAGATGTGATCAATACAGTGCTGATGGAAATCCTCTGATTATCCTGATAAACACAAATTTTTGTGTCAGACATTCACAAGGATAAAAATCATCAACCACCAAATATATTTCTTTCTGACTGTGAGGGTTCATCATATAAATTGTCAATTTCTCAGGAAATAACATCTGGATTTCCTGCCTGATGATGTTTTATGACAAATTGATTGGTTCATATTTTTCCCTTCTTCGAACTCGGCCTTTGTTTTGATCTCAACTACACACCTGTTCAGCAGTAGTGAGGGACCTACCTGCCTGTGTGTTTCAGATGTGAAGCCGGTGAAGGTGAAGAGGGAGCGTGGAGGGGAGGAGTCCTCCGGCAGCAGCAGCTCTGAGGAAGAGGAGGAGAAAGAGGAGGAGGAGGAGGATGAGAAGAAGGAGGAGAAAAAGGAGGAGGAGAAACAGGAGGAGGAAGAGAAGAAGGAGGAAGAGAAGGAGGAGAAGAAGAGGGAGGAGGAGGAGAAGGAGAAGAAGAGGGAGGAGGAGGAGGAGGAGGAGAAGGAGAAGAAGAAGAAGGAGGAGGAGGAGGAGGAGGAGGAAGAGAAGTACAAGCCAGACCTGGACCTGGAGGCGGACTTCCCCCAAGGTAATAACAGGTCCATCTTCTTATTGTCTTTGTCCCTTTTTTTTATTTTAACATTAGGACAGACACGATTCACATCATCCCAAACATACTGAACATAAACAAAATTCCTGACATTATTTTTTAATGTCAGCCTCAGCAGCATCTTTGTCTGTTGAAACTTGAAATTCAAGACATCTGGTCGCAGTTATTCTGTGCCGCCAAGTAAAGAAATGCTCCTAAATTCAAATCAGTCAATTTGTCTCCAGCTTTCATTCTGACATTGTCACACTCTGTTTAGTGAAGCAGCTCTTATGTAACAGCATCTGACTGCAGGGTTTTAATGGATCAGTACAGTAATTGAGATTAAAATTCCTTCCTCCGGTTATTTCTGGACCTGCTGTCATCACCCCTATCAGGGCAGAGGGTTTTAGGTTTGGTGTACTGTCCAGAAGAGGAGTGTGAAGTCATTAACCAGGCCAGGAATATGACATTTTTTTATTTTTGTTCTTAGTAATTTTTTCCACTGGCCTGTTATAGCACACTTCGGCTGTGCTTGGCTATGATCATATGTACTTCAGCTATGAGTTGACCCCTGACATTAAGGCCTGTCTTGGTCTCGGTCACAAACTGAGCTGCGTTGTTGCCTTAAACTGAGAAAGCCACATTCTGTATTTTTAAAAAAAAATCTTTTATACTGTGAAATCTATTGAGTTTTAGATTTTTATTCCACTCCTGTTTTACTGTAGGTAGCAGCCAGATTAAAACCAAGTGTTATAATGAAGGCCTGAATACACTTCATTCATTGGATTAATACCATCATCATCGTACCAGCCATCGTTGCTGTTAAAACAGTAACATGAAAAAATAAAAGACTTGTCAGACACAGGATTTTAGGGTAGACAAGGGAAGTTGTTGTGTAGCACATTTTATACACATGGGCAATTCACAGTGCTTTACCTACACACATAAAAGACTTAAAACAGTAAAATGCAGTCAAAGGCACCGCAGGCATTTTCTTCAGTGGAGCATCTGACCAGTTAGTAAGTGAACTGTCTACTCGACTGTCCACAAGCCAGGGAGTCTGACATGTAAACACACTGAGCGTCAGTGTGTTTACATGCTCTTCAGTAGCTCGGTTACAGTCAGTTTCCTACATTAAGCTAATTTATTAAATTAAACGAGAAACCTTGTCTCCATAATCAGGGGAGGGGCTTTGCAAAACCTGATTTTTCCCCAAGGTCCTGAAGAACACTGATTCCTCGGCCATATACACGTGTAATAATAGGATTTTTAATTATCTTTTTGCTAGTATGTTTCGCTGTAAGGAGGAACAACAGTGACGCCTCCTCGTATTAGAAGTTTCATCCGACTAAAACTGAAACTAACTTAAAGTGGCCTCTAGAAGTCTAAAAAAAGTTGCTTTCCACTGCTCAGAGTTTGACTGTTTTGTTAAATTCAGACACATGGCTGTCAACCTGCTCCGACACACTCACATACAGCACAGATTAACACTAACCCCCGTTAATAACGAGGTTGAGGTTAGGGGAGAAATCAGTTTACTGACCTGCTGCAGGTATACTTGGACTCACAGTCAATGCATGTAAACATTTTGTCTTGTTAACCTGGCTTGTGTGTATAACCTTGTCTCTTAAGTGTATGTTAATGTGCTGCTGACTGTGGCGGTGCAATCACTGTACCTGAGGCTTTTAACTTCAAAATGCTGAGACACTGAATGTCCTAACAATAAATCATTCTCTCAAGGGAAACGTGCAGCATTGGCAAGTCTCCTGGGCTGGCGAGTGATACTTAGGAATTGGAAACTGGACAAAATCCCTTCCCTTTTTTAAAATATGAATCCAAGAACCGACGTCTCCCGTGCTGGAATAAGTTAGTTATACGCTTCACGGATGAGTGGAGAAATGTACCTCGACATGGGAAACATTTATTGCTCATGTAAAGCAGCTGTCAGTCTGACGTGCTGTACAGAAGAGCTTTCATGCATCACTGAAGGTGTGATCAGAAATTGGATATTGATTTGGGGTGTTGTCTGCTCGCCGCTTGTGCTGTAATATGGACAGGTGTGTGTAAGTGTGCACTCGTATGTACACATCTGCATAGCTTGTTGTTTCCCGTAGCGGAAGGCTTAAACAGGAAGTGCAAAGCGAGTAGAATGCCGCCTGAAATAGGCGATCAATTGCAGCCTGCAGAAAAATCAATAACTTTGTTTCCTGTCCTGATTGGATTTACCTTTTTACCTTTATGAAAAATAAGAAGATAATTCAACAGCTGTTGTTTCCTGTCTCAGCCTCAGATCCAGTTCCAGTCCTGGAGGGGATGGAAGAGGACATGGGCTTCTCTCTACCTCCAGTCCTGGCAGAGGAGAAGGAAGAGAAGGAGGAGACGGTACCTCGACCGCAGCCCAGGAGACAAGTATGCACACACACACACACACACACACACACACACACACACACACACACGTAACAATTAGAAAGTTTGTACTGGTAACAGTAACGCTGTGTTAGTGTGTAGTAACTGTAACTGGTGTGTTTGTGTTGCAGGGGAACAAGAGGCAGGCGGTGGAGGAGAGCTCAGATTCAGCCTCGTCCTCTTCCTCCCAACCAGCAGGCAGACGCTCAGAGGGACGGTCGCTGCCGCTCAAAGCTCGCTACGGCATCAATGCCTGGAAGCGCTGGGCACTGTCTCCTCCTGACCAATCAGATGACACCAAAGCCAAGGACTGCGCCAAACCGGGTAAGCTAAACCCGATGATTAACTTACAGCCCTGGCTCAGGAGTCACGGTGTGAGAGCCCAGGTTGAAATGAAATGTTGATTATACTTGGAAACAGATAGGCTGTGTTTGCTAACAGCGGTCGGCGCCTGTTCCCACCTCTATGCAGCTCGGTCTAAAAGTAACCTGCTGTCGCTGAGTTCAGAGGAGCTGAACGTGGCTCTGTCCCGGTTTGTCAGGGAGGTCTGTCGGCCCAGCGGGGAGCGCTACTCTCCAGACAGCATCCTCTACCTCTGTCTGGGGATCCAGCAGGTTGGTACCAAGCCAGAGACTCAAAACACCAGAACCACAGCAGCTTTCAGGCGAGCCACGGGGTCACAGATGTCAAAATGAGACAGTCAACAAAATGTATTTGAGCACATGCGGTTTATATAATATATTGTTTTCAGGTCGTTTCTTGAAACGACCTGAAAACGTCAGTGTCTTTTTTTTTTTTTTTTTTTCTTAAATCAAAGACATGAAAGGTTCCTACTTGACTTATCCACAGTCATGTGACAGATGAAAGGAGCAGTCAAGACCTACTTTCACAACAGAGAGGACAGGCATCTTCTTATGTTGTTTGACACATTAGGAACATGACAGTGGCACTGTGTTTTCATACCTTACTACCTACTGACTCTAAACAGGTTCTTACAGGTTAAACTGTAGTCAAACCAGACAGTAGACACACTAAATACAGTGGTTACTCGAGTGTGCTGCTGATGGAGGCTGTTCTCCCAGAGAAGCAGGAGAAGCTGAATTAAAATTAAATGTTAAAAACGGCTCTAAAAAAAAATAAGGATTAAAAACATTTGATGTCTCTTTGTGAAGCAGTTTTTGAATTCCAGCTTGAGTCAAAGAGTTAAAGTATGTTAATGTTTTTATATTGGTACTACTAAAACAATATACTCTGCCAATTACATCCTGTACAGAATTAATATGTAATAGTCAATAGTCTAAACATAATGGAAAAAGTATTTTTTTCTGTCTTTACGCTGAGAAAGAACACACTGAGGAGCAGGAGCCCCTTTTTAGCGAACCCACTTTGTACTTTAAAAACAAAGGAACGGGACGTCCTGCTGGTCAAGGGGGTTATAGACCCCGACCATGTGATCGCAACGTCCCCGGTTCAAGCCCAGCCTCTCGACTGTTGGTATCAAATAAAGGTAAATATGGCATAAAACTACTTAATTAACTAATACTTAATTTGTGAAAAAGAAAAAGGAAAATAAAGACAAAGCATTTCTTGTAATCCCTGTGGTGTTAGCAGTGGGCTTGTTGCAATGCAAATTTTATATCAAATATTATTGTTTCACAAAATAAATATCAACACATTTTAAAATAACAGAAAATGAAAATGTAATATGACAAATACAAATATTAACATGAAGTAAATTAATTGACTTTCTGTTTTGTTCTGTTGAAATTCCTCCAGTAGTCATTTTGGGGGTAGGAACTAAGTTTCAGAGTGAGTGTTTCCAGTAGGACAGACATTACTAGTGCACAGTCTTCCCCCGCTGCTCTCACATGTGAGCAGCAGCAGCATGAGCATGCCTGCAGAGTGGAGCTCAGGATTGTCTAAAGGCCTCTGGAGTGTGATTTTTCTGGCAGAAAAATGTAAGACTGATTCACCTGTTTATGGAAAACAACAAGATGTAAAGATTTGACTGGTTTATGTGAAGTTTAATCGAGTATTTTGACCTAAAAACTCTTGAATGTGTCTTTTCTGGGCCTGCTGTAATCTGCTGCTCGACTTCCCTCCTTTTTTCTTTTGAATTAGTTAATATGTTAAAAGAAAAAGCAACTTATTTATTCCAGTATGTGCAGATCTGTGTCCTGTGATTATAACTTTTTGCTGTTCACATCCTGAAAATGGTGATGATCACTTAAATATGAGGACGCTAACATTTTTTAACTCTGTGAGCGACCACATTCCTTTGACCTTTACTTAAATGTGAGTCGTTTTTTTAAAAAATCTTTTATCTTTTTCTTTTTTTTTTTTTTTTAAAGCATCTTCACTCCAAAGGCCGAAAGGATGACCTGTTCAGTGACCTGTGCTACCAGCAGTTTGGAGAAGAGCTGAACAAAGTCCTGAAGGACTGGCAGCCCAGTGTTCTTCCTGATGGTGAGTCAAACACAGTCTGAAGTGACCATTTACCCAGCACCTGCAGGCTGTTATATTGAATTATATTTGTTTTTTGTTTTGTTTTTTTAAATTGACTACACATTTTAAATCACTACACAGTCAATTAATATCTCAACAGCTATAATGTGCACACACAAACAAGAAAAAGAAAATGAAGATCACCGGTGAAATTGGATCTCCAGGTAGCTTTTATAACTGCAAGAAGGTGATTACAAAGATATGTAGCTTGGGGAAAAAAATAAAATCCTCCATTACACAGTGTGTGATTGTTAGCGCCAGCTGGTGGCTCAGCGCTGTTAAATAACCTGTAGTGTTGCTCTGTATCACGAGCAGTGTCCAGTGATTATAACTCTTCTGCTGTTCACATCCTGACTCGTTGTGATTGCACTTTAAAGTCATATGAGGACACTGCAGCAGCGCTAACAGGGTGTTTTCCTGTTTACACAACAAACAGGTTCCACATTTCCAACTTAAATTCCTTGAGACTAAAACTCTTCCTCAGTTTCATAAAAACTAGTTGCTGGTAATTAACAGGATATTTCCAAGAAAGGCCTTTGAAATCTGATGCTAATCAAAAGGGACCAAGAGAAGGTGTTGGTTTCTACCTGCTACCCTGAATTATTATATATTATAATATTATTATTATTATTATATTTTAGTACATAAATCCTAGAAAGAGTAACAAAATTCTTGTATAGACAAAATGCTGTAGACCTTTATTCCTCGTAACTAATAATAATAATTCTGGGGAAAGTCTTAGAAGGAAATTATCTGGAAAATACAGGAAGCGTATATTAAACTCATATTTGGAAGTTGTAAAGATGCATTTGTGAGATATAAAATTAAAAGTAATGAGTTTACATGTTATACACTTTTATTAATTTTATCTTAATAATAGATAACAATCAAAATTGAGTTAGCTTTGTTTAAAAACATGAGTGGCGGTTTGAAATGAATAAAAAGATGCATGTCATCAAAGTCTCCAGAACAATGTCCTGATCAAAAATAAGTAATAGTAATTGGAGGATCATAAATATACTGTACCCTCCTCTTAATCTCCATCTTGGATAGTGAGTCCTGAGCTTCAGATTCCAGGTGGGTTTATTTCATAGAAAGGATGTTAAAGTGTTTGCTGCTCTCTCCAGGCTCTCTGTGGGGTCGAGTGGAGGAGCAGAGCCTGTGGAGCAGTCGGCAGCTCGGGGAGCAGAGTCCCGCCGCTCTGCTGCGTTCGCTGGTTTACCTGAACACCAAATACTTCGGCCTGCGCACCGTGGAGCAGCACCTCCGCCTCTCCTTCGCCAACGTCTACGGCCCCGACACCGTCCATCCTGTCACCAAGGAGACCACCGTCTGCATCCGCGTGCCTTCCATCTCTCAGGATCACCATGGTGAGGCCGGTGACGTGAACAGTACATTTAGTATATTATTATTCACACACTTTAACCTCTTAGTCGTGGTTTCATTTCAAATCTAATATGTTGAAGTACTGAACCAAAACAAAGGTGAAAGTTGTGTATTTGTCAACGTTAGAGGTTTGAATCTTGCTCACAAATTCTCAAACTAAACTGTTTTTGTCTGTTTTTGGTCCCTCAGTGCAAACAGAGTCCAGGAAGAGGAAGCGTAAGTTGGAGGAGGTCGATCAGGACTATGAGCCAGACGACGACTCAGGAGGCTCCACTGTGCGCTGCCCGGTTAAGAAGCACGAGTGTCGACTATACGAACTCTACAGATCGAAGTGGTGGGTTTAATATCTCTCCTGGTGAAATACATCATCTTACCTACCGTCTTCTTCACAGTTGTACTTTTCCAACCTGTACAATTACGTTTTGATCGTGTAACTAAGGGTCTCATCCGGGGGCGCAAATGGTGTAGATTTATTGTCAAACGTGCTCATCATAACTTTCCAGAGAGCAAGTTGACGTCTTCAGATGTCTTGTTTTGTCCGACTAACAGTTCAAAACCCAGAGATATTCACTTTATAAAGATAGAAAACAGATTAAATCGTTGGATTAGAGAAACTGGAACCAGCGAATGTTTTACAGTTCTGCTTCATCGGTGGATTTATAGGTTAATCTCCTCATCATTTCATCACTAATTAAAACCTGACATTAATTGATGTTTTAGAAAGCAGTAACGTTATCTGTAATCAAACTTCATCTTCTTCTTTTGTGCTGAGTTAAAGCTCAAACTGGTGTTATCACGTCCATTTCATTCTTATCTGTGGGAAGTTTGATGTGGAGAACGTGTTTGTCTTCAGTTGCCGTTTTATTATATATTCCTAATTAAACCTTTTTCTATATTTAAGTCCTGTGATTATAACTTATTGCTGTTCACATCCTGAACCACAGTGTTGACTATTAAAATATGAGGACTTAACATCAAACAATCTGTTGTCAAAAGTTTCACTTGATTATTCAGATCAATAGATTCACACCTCTCTCTCTTTCTCCCACCTCCCCCATTCCCTCTTCTCCTCTGTTCTACCTTTCCATCCATTTATTTTCTCACCTTCTTTCTCTTTCTTCTAACTCCTCTTTCTTCCCCTCACCTTTTATCTCCTTTCTTGATTCCTCCTCTTCTTATTGGCACATTTTACCTTTTTCTTTTTTATCCTTCTCTCTCTTCGCTTTACTGCTTCCCTCGTTCTGCCCCCCCTCTCGTCTCCTCCCTCCAGCCCGACATTGTTACAGGAGCGTCTAGACGTCTTCTACGTTCAGCCGGATCTGGCGTGCGGCCCCGACGACCCGCTGTGGTTCACCTCGACGCCGCTGGAGCGACAGATCCTGGAGAGCCTCCTCACCAGAGTCCTCCTGGTCAGAGACATTTACACAGACAAACAGCACCTGGAGGAAGACGAGGAGGAAGGGGACGGGGGCGAAGCAGCGGGGGGAGAGTAGCAGTCGCTTGGACTTGTGTTAGTAGAGCCTGAACAGTCAGCAGAGGAGAGGAGGAGGAAGAGGAGGTTAGCTAGTAATGTGTGCGCTCCTCCCCTGTCTTAACGTCTGGTCCTCCTTACCCTCCTTGCTGAACTGCTGTTTCCTCCTGGTGAGGGACGTCCACAACAGAGGTAGATGATGATGAAAGTGGTGGTGAGGAGCAGCCCTAAGTTGTACTTCTGCTGATTGTCACAAACAGAGGAGGAAGACGAGGTAACGAAGCAAACGAGGACAATATTTTTCTCTCCAGTCATAAAACAGAAGAGGAGGAACAGGCACAAATGTCTCCGGATGAAAGGAACAAGTTGGAGGGGGGGGTGGTTAAAGAGAATATGAGGAGAAGGGGAATAGAGGAGGCGGAGCTGTCATCTGTTGTCACGGTCAAACAAAGCTAAATCAGGTAGAAGAAGACGTTTATTAACGGTTATCAAAGGTAGGACCTGCTGTTGTGCATCACCAACAATTCTGAGGATGTAGCTTGTTTATAGTGCTCGAACAAGCAGCTTACAGATATTTAAGCTTTTAACGACGCAGAATCACGCTTTAACAAAAGTTTATCAGCCGCCTACAGGGAGGCACCGAGCAGACGCAGAGGCCCAGGGACAGGAAGCCATGGAGTTATTCCCTCTCACTCTGCAGCTTCATGTCCTTCCTCGCCATCGCTCTGCGGATGGGGAAGGAGGCAGTGGGAGCGCTCGCAGGGTCGAGAGAGTAACTTCACAGATCTTTTTACACAGTTGAATCGAGAAGGTGGGGGGTTGGGGGTGGGGGGGGGGGGGGGGGGGGTCTGGGTGAAACCAGAAGCACCACCCAGAGGAGGAGAAGGAAAGTTGGAGAGTTGGAAATTCCCAGCTGGTAGGTTGAAATTCCATCTTTAATGCAGTCTCTAGTTCACAATGTGAAAAAATAGAAACACAGCCAGTAATAGGATCTTCTCAGACCAACAACTACTGTTCCCAACTTAGCTGCTAATTGTATTCGTATCTGGCAGAACAGTAGCAACTATATACGTACCACTTTATATTTCAAATGTATATGTGATTAAACACTAAATATTCTACAGCTTAGAAATGCTGTTAACTGACTCTGACAGGTGGGAAAGATTCAGGTCCGCGGCGTCTTCGACATCCCAGCAGTGATGTAACAATGCACTTTACTCCACTGCTTCTTCACTTATGGCGTTTGGAAATTTCCACCATTAGATGGAAGCAGAAAGTAATTTTTTATTTTATTTTTATTTTTTTTTGTGTTTAACAAATAGGTGGTTTCATGAATTTAGGGTTTAAAGCTCATGCGCACCTTCACAACTGTTGGGCAGTTATAGAGATGTACTCAGGTTGAAGTCAGGTGGTGTTAAACTCCAAGTTAAGATGGTGAAATTTACTCTTTGGTGTAGCAAAAAGAGGGGGGGGGGTTAACTTGTATGGCTTCTTATATAAAACGCTTAAAACAGGGATAGAAAGAAATATTTACAGGAGGACAGGAAGATCCCACTCCCCTCTCTGAAACCCACTGGACTAATGTAGAGCTCAATGATTTCATATGTCCGAGTAAATTAGATTTGAATTTTGCTCTAAGGGGAAGAGTTCATCTGTGATGAAGAGAAAATTCACTTCACCCTGGTCTGACATCTGGTCTGACATCTGGTCTGACTGCACCATAAAGGTTTGGTCACATTACACTTGTGTCTTTTTTAAAAAAAAAAAAAAAATCATCGCTCCGTTTTCCCCCCATTCACTTCTATTGGGACGAATCCAAGCACGCGTTTATTCCTGTTTGGGTGTGAGCTCCAGCTGTTCCGGCAGACTCTCAGGTCAGAGTTCACCTTTTTTCATAAACCTCCACTGGGCGGATGCGCTCGGTTGGCCGATAGCAACACGGCTGCACTGTGTGCGGTGATGTAGATGTTACTATTTCAGCCTGTTTCATAGCCATATTTTGTACATTACCACACTAGCAGGCTACGAACTGCAGTGATTGCTCTAAATGATATTTATTACCTGCATCAGAAACATGCAATCAAGTCTTTTTTTTTTGTTTTGTTTTGTTTTTTTTGTTTTTTTTTTTTTTTAGGGGCCGAGTGCAGGGAAATTTTGTAGGATGGGAATGTGATGTGACCGTACCTTTATGCAGGTCACCAAACTCAGTGTAGCAGCGAGAATGAAAGAAGTCGTCCATCTTAACAAGGGGAAACATAATCAGGCAAAGTAAGTGAAATCACCTGTGTAGGTCGTGAGCTTTAATTTAATTGGGCTTGAGTGTGTTTTTAAATGGCTGTCAGCATTTGCAGTGATGATGTGCTGACAGTGTCTTAAGTCCAATAAGCGCATCACGGAAGCCTCCAGTTGGAGAAACGTTTTTGCCACGTAGGGTCCTTTCCGTTTACATTTTTCACCGCATGAAGCTGGAATTTCTGACTTTCCAACACGTCTCGAAACGCCTCTTTCCTCTCAGCCGGGGCGACCTGCTGTATCACACATCTCCATTAACCGGGCTGCTTTCATTCCTTCACGTCATCCCGCTCACCGCTCTTCCTCTGTCAGTACTGCTCTCAGGCGAAAAAAAACCGCTGCACCACAGAGGACCTCAAGCTCCGAGGGGAACAGGAGTCAGGACTGATCCCAGGACAGGAAGAGAGGACCTTTTTTTAAAAAGAAAACCTCTGACTCGCTGTGGTGCGGGGGGGAAAGGCAACCTTACCGACATGCTGCGTTTCTTTATAGGACATTAGGGGAACCTTCATTCATGCGATGTAGCATTATGTGCGTACTAAGCCCAGATTGGGTTGCTTTGAAGTGTAAATATCTCTGAAACAAGGCGGTTGTTTGAGACGGAGTCGACACACAGAGGGACACTGTGTAATTCGGGGTAAAGAGGAAAAAAAAAAAAAAAAACACCCACTGAAACCTTCAGCTTGAAAACCCGCCTCCTGAGAAGCCTTTTTAAAAAGACTGAATATTTATTTCTCTTTTTATTAGTTTGACTGTATCCTTTTTTTTTTTTTTTTTGGGATTGGGATTTTTATGGGTGCCATTTCCTTCAACGGTCATTCATTGAAAACCTGCTGCGGTCCTGCGCCCTCGCCTCCCTCTTGTCCATTTAAAGAGTCTCTGTGCAGGAACCTGCTAATCATGAAGGACGTTGATTTATTCAGAGTTCAACAGACTATTTTTGAACATTTCCTTTCTGCTTCTGTCCCCCCCCACCCCCCACCCCCACCCCTCCGTGTTTGTCATTTCCTGGTATTTATCAGTTATTCTGATTCTCCTTTCAACTTAATATTGGTTTAGTTTTAAGTGCCCTACTCTTCCAAGCTGTTTTAGAGTGCTAGCACTGCAAGGCAATGCTTGTATTGTAATAAAGAATTGGTTGGACATTTTATTTTATTTAATTTTTTTTTTTTTTTTTTCAATGAACTAAACTCATGTTTTTCTTTGAGTTACACTTTTCATTTTTTTTTATACAAGTCTTTTTTTTTTTTACTTTTCATTTTTTTAGTTTAATTTGAATTTGCTTTCTGATTGTTTCAATAAATTGGAGAAAGTGTCATGAAGTTAAAATCAAGTGAAAATTATTTAAGGATTTTTTTGTTTGTTTTTTTTAATGCACTTGTTCTTTGGTTGCTAATCAACTTTCATTTAAATAGGAAGGTTTAAACTTGGCTGAATTTTATACCCTACAAGTTTGTGTTTCCACAACCAGTGCTTGACATATAAGGAGCACCTTCCAGATGTTGAGTTGGACCCATCATCAACACGGTCACTGTCTCAGATTTCACAGATTAAAAATCAATCGTGTCTTTTCTTCACAATCCACATCACTGTTCCTCCTGACTGAGGTGGATTGAACCGGAGAACAAGGTCAGGGATTACACTTTGAGAGTTTTATTTTACCTAAAGAGCAGCCGTTCTGTTATTTTGTACACTTTACTGTGCGTTTAATGGTCCAGAACAGCAGTGAAACATTACAGGAGCAAAGGTGGAAGATTTCACGGGAGAAGATTGGTCTTGATTTGAAGTTGCCCTGATCACGTGTCCCAGCCCCCAAAATCCAAGCCTTTAAACTTGAGTGTGGACGCTAACGAAACTGACCCCGGATTTAAACTGGCCGGTTTTCCTGCTGGACTCGGAGGCAGCGACCAAACCTGCCACAGGTTTGGACCTACATTAGATGCTGTGGCTGGCTTTAATGCCTAATGTGAATGTGCCTATCTGTAAATACTGAAAGTGAGTGATTGTGAGTCTGATGCTATGTGTGTGGGCTGATCTGCTGATACGGTCATGTTAAATAAATGATTTCATTTTCTAACCAGACTCCTCTTGGCAGTGCTGTTTTGATTTGCCTTTAGTAAAGTGCCACGGATGTTAAAGGCGTTCAGTTCGCCACATTATAATAAAGACTATATTATCTTCCCACCTTTTATGTGATTTTCTAATGAGAGTGAGATGGAAACTCGTGCTGCTAACTCTAATGAAGGTGAATAAAATCTTTACTCCTCAAAGCATTAAAGAAAAGTAGAGACATCTTTAGTGAAGTCAATCTGCTAATAACATAATGTAACAGTTTTATTGTGTAGAAACAAGGTGAAAAACACAATAGCTCATTTATCTGTAGATAAACCATAAAACATTAAAACTGAATTATTCTTATTTTCAGTGATTTACAGACTTTCAGTGAAAAAAACTGAACAAAACAAAAGATTTGACATGTAAATAATCATGGCTGTTAAACTTTAGTTTATTACATTTTTTCCTGCATAAATAGGAAAATATATTTTTTGACACTCTTGAATTGTAATAATGTGAGAAATTATGACTAAAGATTTGTACATTTTTTATTTATTTCAGGTTTTTCCATCAGATTCTTGAGCGGCGGGGATTTGCTCCCATCCAGCCATAAGAACATTAGTGAGGCCCAACACTGATGTTATTGATAAGGCCTCAGCGTTCAAGTTCATCCCAAAGGTACTAGATGGGGTGGAGGTCAGGGCTCTGTGCAGGTTCTTCCACACCAAGCCATTTTTATATAGACCTGGCTTTGTGCAGGGGAAACAGGAAGGCGACAAGCACAAACTGTCTGGAGGCACATTACTATCTGAAACAACATTGTGCACTGTAGCATTGAGATTTCCCTTAATTGGAACTAAGGGCTCTAATCCAAACCAAGAATAACAGCTCCACAACCACATAAGTATGTGTGCAGCGGCGTCCAAATACTTTTGGCCGACGTAACCGTCCCACGTGACATGCAACAACAACAAAAAAAAAAAAAAATCATGTCATTCTTTTCCTAATATTTCACACATTTCCACTTTGTTAAATAAAGATAATTATTCACATAAAAGAGACAAAAGACAAATACGCCAATGCAGTTTGCAGCTTTGTGTCGCATGACTACACTGCTCTCTGTTGGAGGGCTGTGTCTTCTGCTCTCTTCCATTATTTCTTTTTATTCTTTTTATTATTTATATCGTCACGGCTCAATGACCTTGTTAATTTGAATGTAAAAACACAAGGTTATAGAAATATGTGAGCCTCAAGAGAACCACAATCTTTCTTTGTTCCCAGATTAAAATTATTACAGCGTGTTAACATTGGCACAACGTGAGGGCCTCTTCACTCTGTTCTGACCTTCTTTATCTCCACCGTGTCCCATTTTTACAAGGTGTCAGGCGGACATGACACCGAGGCAGTGAGCGTTATCTGGAAAATGACAGACAGCAG